CCCCCAAAAAAAATCATGCATATCAGCCATTTTATATGGCCTCCTAATTTGGGATATTCTTCCTCCTCCTCAAGGGAGCAGCATAGCAGCCATGTTTTATTGGACTACTCATGCACCCTTTTCTTGTGACCTGTGTCTGGTACCCAGCCCGTAAGATTTTGTTGTGTGGACTGCGGCCATCTTTACATCATCCCCTCCCCCCACTGCTCTGATCAAGGGTCTGGTAAGGGATTTTAGTGGGGGACCCAAAGTTTTTTGTTTTTGGCATTGGGGTTCGCCCTAAAATTCCTTCCAATCCTGTCCTGAAAGGTCTGGTATGAATTGCCGGAGGGAACCGCACACTGGATTTTTAAAAACTGTTTCTGTGGACTGGATTTGCATTCCGAAATGAATTGACTTTCAGACCAGAATCCTGAAAAACGAAGAAAACATCAGAAACAAAAACTGTTTTTTTTGCAGGAGCACACATCTAAAAAGCACCAGTGAGTTTACCTGGTCATTTTGGTGCTGAATGGGAAATTCTGCTTTTAAAAAAATTTAAAAAAATGCCCACTTCAACATCACACAGGGCATGACAAGGGGGGGGATAGAGACAACAACCCTAAAACATGGCAACTTCCTAGATGTCAGGGTGAGATGATATGGCATGCAACAACAAAAGTTTAGGCTTCTGTAAGGACTATTACCATCCGTGTGTAAATAATACACATCGCTCATCTCACAATATCAAACTCCCTCTCCGGTCAGTACAGGATACTGTCAATGGAAAAAAAAAAGCCACAAGATTTACACAATAAACCCTCCAGTGCCTCCACATGATCACTACCCTGCTCTGACTAATAGCAGCGTCAGCCACTGACACAAAACATGGCGTGCACCGCTATTTCAACATTAGCAATACTCGAGTCTCGAAATCGTCCCACGTACGGTCCCTCTGCGCGCACAGCATGTCGGTATTTGTAGTATACCCTGTAGTAGCAGAAAGACGTTTCTCGCTACTTAGAACTTCAAATCCCATAAGCCTTTGCGAGCGCAGCCGTTGTCGGCAAGTCTGCTGTTTCAAAGAGGAAAAAAAAAAACCCGGTTCGCCATTAGCAGCGTGTGGTGTGACGGGCCTGAAGATCGGTAGCCGGTAAGCATCTTCCTGTTAGTGTATGTAGCTTTATAAGGGAAGTGGTACTGGTGTGTCAGTGGAAACGTTCATATCTGATGCTTTGAGCGGTTTTGGCGGGATGTTCCTGTCAGCACTGTCTCTTCCGTATTGTGACTCCCTGACGAGGAGACACTTGTATGGCGGGGTTCGCTCGTATCTTGCGCCTTAATAATGAGCTGACGTACCTAAGTAAATTTTGTGAACACTATAAACCGATACAATTATCTCTCGGTGTGTGTATATATATATATATATATATATATGGCACAGGATTTAAAAACCCTTTAAATTTTCAATTTAAAGGACCATGCTGCCAGAAAAGTAACGTTAAAGGAGAACTATGGGGTCAGGGCTTTTCCCTGTCACGGGAGAACACAAACTAGCGTTCTCCTGTGACCCAAAGTTAAGTATACTGCGAGCTACAGCATACATACTGAGACGCTGCAGCCGGGATAGAACCCAGCTGCGGGATTGACAGCTGGCTCTGCCTATCCAGAGGCAGAGCCAGCTGTGCCCGCCCCAAATCACTCGACTCATAATTCTCCTTTAAGGCTTTATTGAATTACCCCCTTTATTGCTTATCCTACAACATATTCTAATATTGCCTGGGCAGTTTTGTTGGTAACCCTAAAACGATTTATTATTGGTATTTATATAGCGCCAACAATTTATGAAGAGCTTTACATTTGAGGTGGATGGAATTTTCAGACCAAAACCGAAAATAAAACATTTGTCAAACTGTAACCGAAAATATTTTTTCTTCTAACTTGTTTTAATATTTTATTTTTGTTTACTTTACTGTCGGTGACACTAGGGAAATAACGGGTCTGAACAGGCCCCTGATATTTCCCTTTTGAAATAGGGCAGCACAGTGGTTAGCACTTTTGCCTTGCAGCACTTGGGTCCGTGGTTGGAATCCCGGCCAGGTCACTGTCTGCAAGGAGTATGCATGTTCTCCATGTGTGTGGGTTTCCTCCCACACTCCAAAGTCCCGTGTACTTGCTGATCTGTGGCATGTATTATCCTGGAAACTATCGTGGGCCTATTTGTTTTAAGTGTGTCTATTTTTCTTTGCTTTTGATTACTGCATTTCAATATTAATATGATGTCAATACAGAGTTTGTTATAATATGGTATAGTATCGGGTATGTCATTAGTTAGACCTATTTTAAACAGTAACTCTCATGCAACCAGAAACTACATTTATCCGGAGTCTACCAATTCCTGTGCATGCCGGATAATGGGGATTTTACTGTACCTGTAATTATGGATGCACAGATACAATACAGGTATCCGTGTCGGTGCCGATACCGAGCATTTGGGCGAGTACTCCTGTCCCGCTGTGTCCTGCTGTGCCTGTCCCGATACTGGAACTTCCGGTAACAGGAAGCCGGATGGCAAGTCATTACATGCTGCCCGGCTTCCTGATTGGTCGGGAAGGCGGGTCTATGTTCCCTCGTCACCAGGGAGCATGTAGCTTGCTTCCCGGCCAATCATTACCCGCCCCCGGCTTCCTGGTTGGCCAGTCATGTTTGTCAGCGACCTTAGTAAGGACTTCTACGATGGCAAAGTGCACCAGGTGAGGCGGCCGGTGTGAGTACAGGGGGAAGAGAGTTGTCTGGGCTGCCGCTGTGTGCGCTGTGTTTGGGAGGGTTGTAGTCTGAGCTGCGTATTCTGCCCTGACAGGCCAATGAGTATTATCCATCTGTCCCAATTGCATTGTATTATATGGAAGCGGGGCTGCGTGTAATAATTCGCCAGCCGGCTTCCTGATTGGTTGGGAAGCTGGCTAATCAGAAAGCCTGGCGGCGAGTCATTTTACGCTGCACAGCTTCCTGATTGGCCAGAAAGCCGGCTCCATGCTTCCTCGTCACCTGGTGATGAGGGAGCATGGAGCTGGCTAATCAGAAAGCCGAGCAGCAAGTCATTACACGCCGCTCGGCTTCCTTAATGGGACTTTCGGTATCGGCGAGTACCAAAAAAATATATCGGTACTCGATACCGGAAAACCGGTATCGGTGCATCCCTACCTATAATAATAGAAAAAGAGATTGAGGACACAGAGTCCTCAATTTCTTTTTCTGTAGCCCCTGTTATGAATGAACAGGAAGCCTCTATTCTGAGTGTTCCTGTCCATACATAGACTGTGGAGTTACTATGTCCACAATTATTAAGAACAGGAAGTGATGTAGAGCACTTCCTCTTCATTCATAATTGGGGACACAGTAAACATACTAAGGGGAATTTATCAAAACTGGAGCAGACAAAATCTGGAGCAGCTGTGCATTGCAACCAATCATCATCTCTCTTTCATTTTCAAATCTTAACTGAACAAACTGGAGAGGGAAGCTGATTGGTTGCCATGGACAGCTGCTCCAGTTTTGATGAATTCCCCCTCTATGTCCTCCATTATTTACAAAAACTCAATGATCAGCTGATCGTTGAGTGCCTGTAACTGACTCCTTCGGCTGTCACAGGGGGCTGAGCGGGCGTTGCGGGTAGGAGAGCTCGGACACCACTGACAGCTGACTACTTCCCTGCCCTGCCGGCTTGGCCTCCTGTGACAGCTGTCTCCTCCCCGCTCTCTATCCTGAGTCTCTGCCTGTTACAAGAGGCCAAGCAGGGCGGTGCGGAAGGAGAGCTCAGCCTCCTGTGACACGCTCACAACGCTCTCCTCCCCGCTCAGCCTTCTGAATGTTTCCCTCCTCCCCAGTGGACACTGCTCTTGAGGAGAGAAACTATGGATGCACCGCAATTTCGGCCGAAAAACTGTACTTTCGGCATTTTGTATCAGGAAACGTAGGAGCCCAGATGCAGGGGACTTGCCAATACAAACGGCACCTCCACACGAGTAAACCGGATAATGCACGGTCTCTCGTGTGGTGGTGACCAGCATAGGAGCAGTCCAGAAACTTCGTAGCCAAATCGATATCCAAAACTCATGCAACAAGAATGCAGGCAACAAGAATCGTGGTCAGGAAGTAGGCTAGGTTCGGTACACAGGATATACAATGCAGACAATACGCTAGGCACTATGGGCACTAACACTGTAATAACCAAGCATGGAATGATGTGTGAGGCTAGTATTTGTACCTGTTGACATCAGGGTGTGGTCATCTCCAGAGGCGGGGTTCTTCCTTAAAAATTGTGTGCTGTACCTTTTAAGAAGAGACACAGTGTGCACTACACGGCTGCTCCACACGGCGAACTTCACAGAGCGGCAGGGAACGATGGAGACAGGTGCTGCAGGAAACAGCGCGTCAGACCTCCGACTGCCCGCGGGGACCCCCCTTCCATGTTACAAGGTGGGTATTAAATTTTGCCCAAAGTGCCATCTTCGGCCGGTGTGTTTCGGCGGCCGAAATTTCAGTGCATCCCTACTCTGCATACTGTACATTCACAGTGGCATCACAAGGGGGTTGCAGCCCTTACACCAAAATGACTGCGTTTCCCCCCTCTCAGATTCTCACTTTGGGAGGTGGATGGCTGAGTGGAGCCTGTGCTCTGCTGCCCATTTGTGTGTATGGGCTGCGGGGCTCCTTACACCACCACGTGTGCCCGGTGATGTGCTTCTTGGGCTGGCCATCAATTTAAGGAGCGGCTGCGGCCTGCTGGCTCGATCAGCAGCTCATTGCCTAGGGGGAGGCTCCCTCTGGTGCTTGGTGTCCAGCGCGTCTGCTGTGCTCGGAGCGGGGAGTACAGTGGCCAGTAATTTAGGATGCGGTCCACCGGCTCCATTGGTGGCTCGTTGTCAGGGGGAGGGTCCCTCTGGTGCTTGGGGCACTGTGAAGCCACACAGGGAATGGCGGCGTCCTACCAAATTTTTCTCTTTGTTGCCACTTTAAGGAAATGGGCCTTGCCACCATTGGTAGATTCGCCTGTTTCGCGTCTTAATTAGGTCACGGTCGTTCCAGAGGAGGACTCCCTTTCTTCTGGGATCCCACAGATAGCAAGACAGAGGTGACTTTGGGCATCATGTATGACATCGCGGGAACTCTGACGCATCCATTCTTGGCCTCTGCATTTAGCTTTCAGACTTTGACGAGGTGGGCGAAACTGTTGCACCTGGGTCTGGCCAATGTACAGGGTCCCCCTGCCTGTGTTGAACTGGCTGACCGAATGGTACAAGGTCTGTAGTATATTTGTTATGCTGCGCTATTCGCTGGCCTTCTGGTTTTACAACTGTCTTTCTGCTATTGTTGATTGTGGCTTGAATTGCTGTGGCTGTTGTGGCTTGAATGCTGGTCTGCCAACAAGTCCTCTCAGATGGTTTATAATGATCTACCTGTTAAGGGGGACTGCCTTAATGGCGCGGCCCTGGATGAGATTATTAGAAACCTTACAGGGAGTAAGAGCACCTTTTATACCTCAAGCACAGAAGTCCGTAGATCAGTGTTGCTAACCCGACCCGTCTTTCTCGGCCCACAATCGGCTTTTTCGTCCCTCCTCTGCTGTGGATAAGCGCAACAATTCCTCTGGAATTTCTACTTCTATGGCTGCCATGTGTCCCTTACAGTACAAGTCTTCCAGGTCCGCTGAAGTACCTTCCTCCGCATCGACCCCATCTTGGTCTCTTGGGGTGAGGTGTCATCATCAAGAGTTCACAGTCCATTAGGGTCTCACATTTCTGGCACCTGGGTCTGCAAACTGGTATGCTCAGTTCAGGATGGATTGTTTTGTTCAGTGGTGGTGTCTCTCTACCAGGGGGACCTCCTTGCCTCCTTCTACATTAAGGATGCCTTCTCCGTGTGCCAATCTTTCGCACTCATCAGCGTTTCCCTTTGCTTTGATGTTGGGGAGGATCACTTCCAATTGTGGAGCTGCCTCTTGGTCTGGCGTCAGCGCCAAGGGTATTCACCTAGATTCTGGCTCCGTTGCAGCATTGCTGCGACGCAGGGGAATTTTGATCGTGGGGTATATGGATGTTCTTCTGTTGCGAGCCAAGTCTCTTTTGGACGGTTCCTGGTCGCTGGATGTCGGCAGATTCCTGTCTTCTCATGTGTGTTGGAAGTTCAGATGATTCGGTTTTCCACAACAGTGGGCTTCTTTTTGCTGTCACGGCTCTTTCTACTGGGGGTGTTGTGGCGTCCTGGGCTTTTCAGCATAGTGCCTTGATTTCTCAGATTTGTGAAGTGGCCGATTAGTCTTCTGCTCACACCTTTTCCAGGCTCTATAAAGTTGATGAGCTAGCATCTGTGAATGCGAGTTTTGGGGTGCAACGTTTTGCATGCGGCCCTGTAGAAGGTTGTTTTGGTGGGATTTGTTTCTTTTGCCCGCCCCTCATGTTGTACTGCTTTGCGATGTCCCTGTGGTTTTAAGATCTTTGATCTACATACTGACGGGATTTTATCAAAACTGGAGCAGACCAAATCTGGAGCAGCTGTGCATGGCATCCAATCAGTTTCTCTCTTCCATTTTAACATATTAACCAAACAAACTGAAGAGAGAAGCTGATTGGTTTCCATTAGGGATGCAGCGATACCACTTTTTTAAGACCGAGTACGAGTACCGATACTTTTTTATAAGTACTCGCCGATACCAATTACCGATACTTAGCAGAGCTGCTCCTGATTTTGTCTGTTCCAGTTTTGATAAATTCCCCGTGTCCTTCAATGAACAAAAGAGAAAATAGGATTTTTGTGCTCACCGTAAAATCCTTTTCTCTGCATTAATTGAAGGACACAGCACCCGGCCTCTCTGTGTCTGCGTGGGAGTGTTTTCCTTACTGTTTGTTACTTACTGGAGGCTGGTCAGCAGGTGGGGGTTTGGCCCCCAGCATAGGCCGGCCTTAGGCTGTTTTTTGTGTGCCTATTGTCCTTCTCCTGTAGGTAGCGCAATACCCTGTGTTTTCAAGATCTTCTATATACACACTGTGTCCTTCAATGAACGCAGAGAAAAAGGATTTTACGGTGAGTACACAAATCCTATTTAAAACCTGCAGAGCAAAGCAACAGGTTCACTTTAAATTTCAAATGCAGTTTGATAAAAATAAAAATTTAAAATGGTACAGGCAAACGTAAATGATGCTTCCATTCCAGGTTCAATTACTTCCTGCATCATTCAACCCACTTCCTGTTAGTACAGGGCATCATGGACCTGCCTTCTAGGGGTACACCTTCAAGTTGCTCTGGGATCACAGGAGAATGATGCCGAGTGACACCACGTCATAATTGGGACTCCCACCTGCTGCATGTTACTGCACCTGCACAGTGATTTTATTGGCATCCAGAAATAATCAGTTTCGTTTTGGTGTAGAATAGGGTCAGTGCTATATACATTAGTAATATTAATAATTACAGAGTGTCAGGTTGGGTGAAGTTTGTTGTGCTAAAACAATTGCTCCTTTATTTATTTTGGGAAGTTGAGTAGTCATAAAGATTTCCTTTTTATGGTAGAAAATGTCACCTTATGGTACTTGCGTTTTAGAAGTTTAATTTTTAAAATTCTTCTGACAGGTTTATTTTAAATAATTATGAGGCTGGTTTACTTTACAGCTATGATATAAGGTATTGCCATTATGTTCGGTAAGTGTGCGTATTGAAAAACTTGCTTGTCTAGTTTTGTTTCTCTTGTCATTTCATCTTGTTCTTTTAATAGCTCAAGCCAGGTAACATGGCTTCCGAAGATATCTCACAGTTGGCTGATTCCCTGGCAAAGACTAAGGTGGGAGGGGGAGAGCTGAGCTTTAAAGGCAGAACTCTGAAGCTCAACACAGCTGAAGATGGTAAGTCTTACTGTGTAAATAACTTGTTATTACAGTTTTGTGGATGTAGCTTTGTAACTTATTATTTATGCCATCTTGTTGAGAAGCTTTCATCTTCCCTGGAACTTTAATATTTTAACTTAGAATTGTTGCTTCAGTATAGTTTTTTGTTCTGTATTTAATATTTTTTTTAAATTTGTAGCTGAAGAAGTGAAACAGGAAATTATTGAGTATGAGGGGCTACAGGCATTGCGTCTGGAAGGCAACACTGTGGGTGTGGAAGCAGCTAAGGCCATTGCTAAGGCTTTGGAAAATAAGCCAGATCTGAAGGTAACCATGATAGCTTTTTGATTGAAACATTGTCATTATAAGTTAATGATCTTAAATGTGTTTATCGCTCTTTGACGGACGCAGCTTTATACATTAGATATGTGGCTTTATATTGCTATCTGCAGGAAGATGCTAGGTAAAACAAACAAGCAACCCAAGGGGCCAGCACCAGTGGCTAAGTTTAAAGTGTATTTTCACTTTTGCAGTAAAAATTGAGAAAACCTCACTATATGTTTATGTGTTTCTATTCACACAGCATATATAAAAAAAAATTTTTTTAAATGTCTTACTTTTTAGAGAACTCTGTTTAGCAGAACTTTGCAAGCTTCTCTCTCAGTTTCACAGGAAACTGTCCTAATAGAAAGACTGGGGACACACTGACTAAAATGTTTTGTTTAGATTCCTCTTTGGGACCTGTTGGGGTCTTGTCCCCTTCTCTTGTTCATCATATCAGGTTTGATCTTTTCCTCCCTATGTGGAAAATTGTTGTTGTTCCACCTGTTTTCGGTTCTGGTTGATCAGCTGCACGCTCATTCCAGGTAGGTGTTCCCTTCTATTTGCAGTCTTCCCCCTTGGCAATGTCCTTTTTTACTGCACTGAGATTTAGGTTGATTCTCCATTCCCTCTTTCATGGTGCTGGCTCTTTTATCTGGTAGCAGGCTTGGCATCATCTGGTTCAGATTTGGGCATTTAACTTTTAGATGGCCTCTTGGCTGTAGGCAGACCCCTGTTCCTTTTGAGTCAATGTGCTTGTACACTGTGCGAATTTAGGCCGCTTTTTGAGGAACCTTTTCGGCCAGCATCCCTCGATCAACTGATTGAATTGAAAATTTTCGAACAGACAGAGCCGGTAGCCAATGAGCTGCCTGCTCTGGTCGACAGGTGGCGGCAGCCGCTTTATGTAAACATCAGGGTTCCTCGATTCACACGCTTTTGAAGGGGGAATCATGTCTATTTTTTCGTTCAGCACACGGGTTGGACGAAAAAAAAATAAATCTGTGAATGGCCAGCCTTAGCGGTGGTTGCTGTGTTACCATCCCTCAGTTGCACAGCTTTAGGACATTGAAGTCTGTTAACAGGAACACAGTTTCAACCCATCTGTGTTTCTGTTCATGCTCTTGGTACTTCTTTACCAAATAACTAAAACATGATTGGGGACTGGCTTGCAGTTTTTCAGTGTGCCAGAGTCCAATCCTCCTGTAGACAGTAGTATATCCCAAATCTGTATGATGTAACTGTGTCTCCTGTTTTTGCACTGACATGTGCCCACGGGTGTTTACCAAAGTGTTAGCCCTAGTTCTGTCTCTTTTTACACATGGGAGGTATCTCGGCAGTGGGATACCTCAACAACGTCCTGTTCTGGACAACCTCCCTCAAGAGCTGAGGATAAATATGATCTTTTAATCTAAGGCCACTGGACAAGTGCATGGTAACCTCCTTCGCTGTGGTCCCCTTTGCACAAAAACTTTGGGAATCTCAGTTGTCCCTCAATGCCCTGGGCCTTCAAGTGATTCAGCTGACTTTTCATTGCTGGATAAATCTCCTAGGGGACTCTCAGTAAAAGTTCAGTCAGACTATGCCATGGCTGTGGCTTGTGTAAATCTCTAGAGGGGTGCCAAGAATCCAGTGGGTGTTTGCGAAGTGGATCACAACCTACATAAGAGAGAAAGGTGTGCTTTGGACATCTCCACAGTGTGCACTCCAGGCAGTGCAGTTGGCAGACAGACTACTTCAGTGAGCATAGACCGGACCCCAGGGAATGGCCCAGTGTTCATCAGACCTTTCTCACGTGGGACGCTAGATGTAGATCTCATGGCGTCCCATCTCAACAGAGAGCAGGTCAGGTTTGTTGTAAGGACAGATGAAGATGTGACAGTAGCTCCATGGGACCAGTACTGCTTGATCTATGCGCTTTCCCTGGATTAGACTTCTGCTATGACTGCTATGCAGGATCAAAGTGATATTGCAGGTGACATCATTATGAGGATTATGTCCATAGAGGTCTGCTGAAGCGTTATTATAGTTACTGCTGGTGCTGGTCCTAGATAAACATAATCCAAACATCCACTAAAAACGTCTTACATATCCACTATATTAAAGGACACATGGCCAATGTTGATATTGTAAAGTATAACTTGGACTTCACAAACTTGAAATGTGTTTTTATTTAATGTACGGTAGTATGCTGCCAATCTTGATAATTTTAGATTTTACAATTTCTTTATTCTAGCGTTGCCACTGGAGTGATATGTTCACAGGGAGACTCCGATCTGAAATTCCTCCCGCATTAGTAAGTATAATTCCATGTACCAATTTCTCGCATACCATTTTTTTCTGGGCTACAACATATAACTTAGATGTCTAAATTATGGGAATAAACTAGTTTTACATGTAGCGTTTCAAGTAAAATTATTGTTTAGGTAAAAAACATTTGAAATATTTCTGTGTGTATATATATATATATATATATATACCGTATATTCTGCTCTTCAAATTAAACAAGTCATTTGTTAGAATTGCAGGCCCAACTCAATAACAAGCTAAAATCCACTGTTTCCAGTAGGCCCAGTTCACACAAACGTGCTGGTTTGATAAACATTTGCGCAAATACCAAGCGACACAAAAAATTGCACCTAGCATTTTTTTTATTTTACAGCGCCTCTGCTTTCCGAAAATATATAATAGTTTGGGGGTCTGAAAGGTTTTTTTCTGGCCAAAAATTCAGATTTTACCATTTGTGTGCAAATAGTAAGAAATTGCTCCGACCAGGAAGTGGTTAATATGTGACTAATTTTTTTACACTTAACTTTATTGCTATGACATAGGAGGCTAACAAGCCTCCTATGTGATAGCCAATATACAATGACAGGTCCTCTCTAAGACCCCCAATGTCACCTTGGGACCCCCAAAGAAGCGGATGAAGCAGAAATCTGCTTCACCAGCTTTTTCCCTGGCTACAGCAGCCAGAGAAATGACAGCTAAAGGCGGAAGTGATGTAATACACATCACTTCCGCTTTTAGAGATCGGAGGAGAGATCAGCAAGTATCTCTCCTCCGCACACTTTATGTTGTAATACAAGTGATCAGCCGGCTTTGGAGCCGGCCGAACGCTTGTATGTAACAGCCGGTACAGACTGTTAACACACCTGGCGGGATTCTGCTCGCTCGCGTGCAAGTGAGTAGAGAAAAAAACCACGTACATGGAAGTCCACCCGTGTATTTACAATGGGCAGATGGCAAGCAGCTAAGGAAAAAAAATATATTTTGGCTCCAGCTGTGGACCAGACGAAATATAATACACATCAACGCAACATGTCAAAAAAAGCACTACAACTCAATTGCCACTGTTTAACACTCTTGTGACCAGAGGGCATTAATGTCCAGGAGCCCAGTCCAAATTTAGCAATGTCAGTATGTGTGGGATAACTTGGCAATAACTGTGTGACTAATTTGTATAACTATAATATTTTTAGGCCATTTGAGTTTTTATTTTGTACACTGTTTTGATTAAAAAAAAAAAAAACCCTGCTCTGCGTTTATTAACCCTTTCTCTGCCATCGACTTAAGGTTTGTGCCATAGCAAGCTGGGGCTGTGTGCAGCCCATAGAAGCAGACTGTTAGCTTTGTGTTGGAAGTGATTTGGGCCCGATCATTTGCAGGAGCTTCAGAAGCTGCACTCAACCCTGCCATGTGGCCTGGGCTAGGTAAGTCTCCTGAAGGAGACTTGTTAGCCTAATTGATTAAAGCATATCCAAATGCAAAAGTTTTTTCATTGTGGATAAAGTAGTAAAAGGTTAAAACTGTTGTCAGATTTTTTTTTTTTAGTTGCCATCTCTGTCTTAATAGGGATATTTCTGAAGGCTCAACGGGAAGTGGGGGATATCTTCTCTTAGACGGTTGTCACAGGAACAAGTGTCCACATTAAAAGATTTGCATTTATGGTGGAAAGTCAAATTTTTGGAATTACTTTCCTTTTTCCATCATTGACTGACTGTTGAGTTTGTTGTGTTTGGGGTTTTTAACCACGTCCCGGGCTGACCGTTGTAAAAAATCGGCTGGCCAGGAGCTCTCTAGATCTGAGCGGGCGTCTTTAGATGTCTGCTCAGCCACGCCCCCTCGCGTGTGCTGCGGGAAAAGCCCAAAATTTAAAATCAGGATCCGCGTTGTCTCCCTCCGCTCTTTGCCATTTTTTACCAAAAAATGGTAAAAAATTTAATTTCAGTACAGCGTTGCATGACGGAATAAATGTCAAAGTACTGCAGCGCTGAGTACTGAAAAATGGCTTGGCCAGGAAAGGTGTCTAAACACCTGGTCTGCAAGTGGTTAAAAGGGGAGTGGTAAAATTTGTGTACGGTTTTTTTCTTTAGGTGTGCTTTGAGACACCTAAAGAAAATCCATGCCCCAGGGACAGTTGCTTTCTTTTTGTTTTTGTATACTCTTCTTTTTTTTCTTTTAGATTTCGCTGGGTGATGCCTTGATGACAGCAAAAGCTCATCTGACAGAGCTTGATCTGAGTGACAATGCTTTTGGGCCAGATGGTGTGCGAGGGTTCGAGGCTCTGCTCAAAAGTCCCGCATGCTTTACACTGCAAGAACTGAAACTTAACAACTGTGGCATGGGTATTGGTGGAGGAAAGGTAACTAAATTAAATTAAGTTCAGCCATTCTCAAATAGCTTTGCATGGGGCGCCCCTGTTTCTTGGTCCAGTTTGGCAGCCTGCCATCTCTCTAATGTAAATACAAAGCTGTTAAACTATGCTGAGAAACTGACAGAAACCTTTATTTTAGGGTCTTTTTCTGATCTCTAAGGTTCTTTTGAGAATGAATAACTGCACTTAAGTAGTAGTTAGAAATGTCATAGATGACTTGTTTTAAAGCTCTTTTACTGCCTGTTAAGAACATGTAAATATTTTAATATCCAAAGTCTGAGCACAGTGCGCTTTAACTATTTTTACTGCCATGGATGCAATAGTCTGTAGGACAAGAACTGCTTACAGCAGGCTGGCTTGCTAACCCTTACATCCACAGCATTCCCTTAGGCCATAAAAAGTGGACCTAACTTGTCTGGTTTAACACGGTCAAAAAACAATCAGTACAGTACAAATAAAACAACTCTCCATACACACACAAACATTACATATAATAAACACAAAAAGAAAATTAAGGCTGCGTAAACATTTTGCGCTGTGGTGCATTACTGTATATACATGAACACGCATTGTGTTGTGTGTTAATGAGTATTGCGTTAAGGCAGCCTATTCATTTTGCATGAGCTGCCAATGCACCACAACTCGCTAACACATCCTAAAGCGCACATTACTTTTTTTCCAAAAGCATGTGCTTTGTGATTAGGTGTATTGCCCACTACCATATAGTGCATAAGGTGCCTTTCACAATAAATGGTGGTACCCCCTTTTATATATGTCCAATGTGTTGCAGTACATCACTGCACCTCTGTTAAAGAGATATTGTAATTTTGCCCATTTAGGCTCCCAAACCCACTGATACATACCCCTACAGCAATCCCCCACCATTTCTGCCTCTAGCATAGTCAGTGAAACATACCCACTGTTTTCGACCATAGGAGAGCATGTGACCTTCTGCCACGTGACTTGGGTCTAGCGTCCAATTTGTAGGCCCAAGTACTGTCACATGACAGATGGGGGTGACATCCTGACTCCAGATAGACACAGACACCAGCCAACACTGGGTTTTGTTGGTGACTGAGGCCTTTTTACAGACAAATGAAAGTGTGGAATGAAAGAGCTGGCCAATGTGGTTATTCTCTTGGTGTTTCCCATTCAACAATAGTTAACTGATGTGAATATGGGTGATCTGGCTAGTGGGTAGGCAGCTTCTGTCAACAAAGGATCTCCACAGTATCCTTGGCTTAACAGTGAACACAGCAGATGTGGGAATCGATGTGCCACACCAATTAAAATAATGCAGATATAAGTTTATCCCATTAGGGTTAGGCGAGCATTCAAGCAGAGTAGGAATTGTATTTCAGGGGTCTAGAACACACACCCTTGAGGGCTTAATGTGAGAAATCATGTATGTGAAGTACAATCCCTACATCTCGAAAGTTTTATTGCATTGTTATGGGAGTACTTTAGGCCTGTCAGCAGCCAGTTGGCTACTCTGCTTGAATGTACCCCTGACCCAAATGGAATATAGATGTATCTGGACTATTTTAATAAGTGTGGCGCTTCGATTCCAACATTTATTGTGTGTTTAGACTTTGTATAGTCCAAATGTATGACTAGGGAGTTCATATTGATGGTCCCTGCCACTCTAAAATGGTTGGAGCTCTTTCCTGTGACCTTGTGCTACTGTGTTGATGGCCTGTCAGGAACCCTCAGATGAATTTTCGGGATGAATCTCATGTCAGTCCATCTGCGATGGATCCTATGGCTTAAATGTTGGTCTGCGGAGCTTCTTTGCAAAAAGCTCCTTAAATGCATTCCCTTTACTGAGGAACACCTCTTTGACAAATCCTTTACTGGGGAACACCTCTTTGGCAAATCCTTTATTGGGGAACACCTCTTTGACAAATCCTTTACTGGAGAACACCTCTTTGGCAAATCCTTTACTGGGGAACACCTCTTTGGCAAATCCTTTATTGGGGAACACCTCTTTGACAAATCCTTTACTGGAGAACACCTCTTTGGCAAATCCTTTACTGGGGAACACCTCTTTGGCAAATCCTTGGATACTTACATCATGGAAGTCACGTGAAGCAAAAACACTATCTTACCACAGGGGTAGTACAGGCCTTCTGGGAACAAGCCCTCTTAGCTAAAAGATGCTGCCTAACTTTCGGTAACCCTTTCGCTGCCATATGCTATACAGTGATGTCAGCATGGGACCTGTAAAGCTAATTCTTCAATGCTGTAGTAGCTGGGAATTTGCTTATGTGTAAAGCTGACTGTTGGCTTTACACCGGAAGTGACTGTAAAGCTTCCCAATTGCTTCCATGGGATTTGGCGGACTATATCTCAGGTCTGTGAGTTGAAGGGTAAAGTTGCTCCCTTTCAGCAAGGGCTCACTCTATTAGAACCGATGGTGCCTCTTGGGCTATCCAGCATCGTCCAATGGTTTTCCAAATCTTTAGGGCTGCCACCTGGTCATCTGTTCACACTTTTGCCAAGTTTTACTCAGTGAATGTTCAGGCAGGTGGGGATGCTAGCTTCAGCGGCAGAGTTCTTCAGGTTGCCCTCGAAACTATGGGCCGCTTCTTTTCTTTTATATGAATTTCATAAGATTTTTTTTTTAAAAGGGACACAAGCTGTAACATGAGAACAATAGTCAGGAAGGCAAGTGTTCAAATACAAAGCATGTAAAACAATTGAAGTGCAATGAAACATGTGACATAGGGCATAGAGGGTGCAATAACCCTGAGCAACATCAGGACCATTAAACAAGCTAAGAAAGGCAACTAGGGATGCACACTCCATCAGCCACAGATAAAAATATAATCATGGAGGGAGCAAAAGGTAAGAGGACAACAAGCCCCCCCAAGAAATAACATTAAAAAAAAGAGGAAAAAAGGAGATCCTGTAGACAACAAGAAATACGTTCAAAAAGAAGAAAGGACAAAGAGAGTAAGCAAGCACCAGAAAAAATTATAGTAGGATAAAAATAGAAAGGGAGTGGGGACATGAAACAGGAGTGGGATCATGGCAGCACTGGCAGAAGTATCACTTCAAAGGCTCAACAAAAGTGACCAAATCCAGATGAGCAAAGGTACCACACCCAGGGAGACCATGTTTTCAAAAACTTTAAATGGGTATTGTTAAGAATAGCTGTGAGTTTTTCATTAATCATTGTGACCGTGATCCATTGCTTAACTTCCCAAAAACTCTGTATAGACTGTCAATTGTGGGCCCCTTCTGTTATAGTTCCCTGTTGGGATTTTTGCTTTTTCACAGGCCTGCTAGCCATTGTTTGCTGTGTAGCCTGCTCCTCTGTTGGACTGCTTTTGGACACAGTGGTCTGAGAATTAACTCCCTATGTCCTGTGATGTATAATCAAGGAAACCGTACATCACATGACCCCCTGCTCTGTTTTCTTTGATCCACTCTTTACAACATTGTAGCAAGTAAATTATATTGATAATTCCTTTCAATGGTGTTTTTATCTTTATTTCCTGTGTTTCTTTCAGATTCTTGCTGCTGCCCTAATAGAGTGCCATAGAAAATCAAGTTCATTTGGCAAACCAATGGCTTTGAAAGTGTTTATCGCTGGAAGGAATCGTTTAGAAAATGATGGGGCTACTGCTTTAGCAGATGCATTCCGGGTATGCCCAGTTTGCATATTAAAGATTACATTTTGAAACAAATGGTTAAATGAGCAATGTTGTTTTATGTTGAGCGATTATCATATAGGCCTGGCAGAGTTTACCAGCTTGCTATCACACATATTCTTGGTTAAGTGACATAAGCAGATTTATCCATGTTGGTTGTTATATAGATGATTTTCATAATGACTTATTTAAACGATTGTAAATTGTTAAAAGAGAAGGAACCTTTTTCTTTTTGGCTTTTCTTCCCTTTTGGGACACAATACTAATGTACTCCTGTGACCCAAAGTCTGCATATAATGGAGTACTGTCCACTATATACTGACAGCGCAGAGCCACATTGCAGCCTGGAAGGATTCCAACAATATTGATGGGATCCCCCGTCTGCCTGATTGATAGCTGGCTCTGCCTCTCTAGAACTAGCGGCAGCTGTGCCTGTCCCCTCTCCTGTCTGTCCCTCAAGTAAGTGCTAAAGGAACAGATATGGGAGGGGGTAATCCTTGCAGGGAGCATTAACTTTCAGTCACTGACCTCTGCAGGGACAAGACCGTGAGCTGAGTAATAGCAATTATATGATCACTCAGATTTTGGTGTATAGAGCCAATCTCTATGTATTGAGAAGAGTATATTTTATGCTCTTAATACTTTTCAACTTTTTATTTTAAAAAGACAATTTACACATTGAAGGATAACAGTTTACATTGTGTTTACTAGTTTAAGTGGCTGGATCTACTGGCTTTTGTTTGTGTCAGACCTGCTTCTCTTCAAATTCAAGTCAATGGGGATGTGAAGGCAGCTTGGTGTAGCTTGAAAGGAGGTCAATGAAAGTCAGAAACAGGTCTACTGCAGGTCAAAATCTGCATCTACAAATGAACTCTGAGTAGTATTAAAAGCTTTTAAATTTGATGTTAAATGCAAGTGGAATGCACTTGACTGCAAAATGTATTTGGTCATGAACACAAGTTCAAAGCTTGTTGACACAGGTCCTAAATAAGTTTCAAATCACCTTTTCTATGTATTCACATTCTTTTGGTTATATTTGCAGTTAATTGGCACCCTGGAGGAAATACATATGCCTCAAAATGGAATTAATCATCCTGGGGTCACTGCACTGGCTGAGGCTTTTAAATCCAACCCATTACTGAAGGTCATCAACCTTAATGATAATACATTCACAGACAAAGGAGGCATTGCTATGGCTGAGGTAGATCTCTATTGGTCTTTCCTTCTCTCTCAATCTTTCTTTTGTTTTTCATGACTGTTAGATAATAATTCTACTCTGAATTCTTAACAACCTGTTTTTTTTTCTTAATTTACACACAGTTTAAATATTTTACTTTTGCATCTGTTCACTTTGTAATAATGTGTGTTTGGTTTTAAAGGCTTTGAAGACACTAAGGCAAGTAGAGCATATCAATTTTGGGGATTGTTTGGTTCGATCTAAGGGAGCATTAGCTATTGCATCTGCCCTGAAAGAGGGGTTACATAAGTTGAAGGTAAGTTGTTCACAACAGTTGAATTCTGTTTTGTTAGTAGCATTAAGTAAAATTGTGACGCTGATGGTACGTACACAGCAACAGGCTGGTGCATGTACTAAATTGCTTCATGTTTGACCAAATTTTGAACTCCGTATTCGTATATTAATAGCCACTACTACTTGAACATCCATGGTATCCATGGTGTGTTGTGTGTTGGAGTGCAGTCACTTAGAAAAGGATTATTTAGATGTCATTATTCGTACACTCTCGATACCTGCTAGCTTTTAATGATTAGTAGCAGTATCCATTTTTCAGGGTGTTATTTTTCAAGCGTTATGACTATAAGTTTTCTAGGTTTGTTGCAGGTTTTGGGGTGGATTTTTAATCTGCAGAAATCCAGTCTAGTTCCCACTAGCATCACCCACTAGGTTTAAAAGGTCCTCTCCTTCTCCAGTCCCTCAGTCTTTGTGTTTTCTCAGTCAAACTGGGGAGCATGTCACTAGGAACGCTGGGGAAGCCTCCATGTGGCAAAATGTTTGCCTGAGGTTTTTTCCTTCCGGATGCGCCTGACTGTAGACTCCCAAGTGTGGTATGGGTTAGAGCTCATTTACAGGTGGCATTAGCTTACCTTATTTTCAGCCTCCAGTTAGTCCTCCTAGCCAGGCAGGGGGTACAATAGCTTCCTTTCTTTCTTCAGTGCCCAGTGAGGGCCGGGACCAGGATGACGGAGCTCCCTTGGCTGGGTCACGGAGAACGAGTGTCCGCCAGTCAGAGGGTATTTCACAGCCGGACCGGGTGGCCGCATACCTCACTTTCGGTGTGAGTGACTTCATTTCCGGGCGCTGAGGCTAGTGTGTTCCAAGCCTCGTTTCTGCGAGGGGGGCCTTGGCTGGTCATTTCCAGCACAACTCTCAGTAGTGACTGAGAGGACGTGGGCAGTATTCGTCTGCAAGGTCCGCAGGATGGATTCTGGTTTAAATCTGCAGTCTTCTGTAGCAACAGATACTGGTCCTTTTGGCACCAGCCAGGCTCAGATAGGGTGGATTTTCCTTTTACAAATTTCACCTCCCTGTTACCTCTGACTTTTTATCCACCTGGGGTTGGGCACTTTGGTGTTGAGGGGTACTCTCAACATAGTTATTGATATAGTGGAACTTACTCCTCCTTGCTTCTCTTTTTATAGGCTACGGCTTTGGATAAGACAAAGGTGGCATCTAAGAAGAAATGTGCTGTTTGTTCAGTCAAGCTAGGCTCAAATTATGCTAAACCCTTGTGTCAAAAATGTATTGACAGTCTCTTTAAAGAGGAGTCCACCTCAGTCTGTCGTAATCTCTTGGCTTCGGTTAAGGAGGAGTTATCTTCTACATTTCAGTCATTTAGATCGATATTTGAGGGTTTTAAACCTAGTACCAGTACTGTTCTATTGCCCACTCTGGTGGGTGCAGGCCAGGTTGGCCCTGTGGGGTCTGTAGCAGTGTCTGAGCAGGAGGATCTTAGTGAACCAGGTCCTTCCCATAATTATTCGTCATCAGAAGATTTTAGTGCTCAGGATGACATTTCCGGTGCTTCTAGATATAAGTTATCCTTAGAAGATGTAGATGATTTACTCGCTGCCATTTACAGCACTTTGGAAATACAAGAAAGTATGCAGCTTTCCAGACACAATCTCATGTATTAGGGATTATAACAAAAGAAGTCTTAAGTTTTTCCTGTACATAAAATTCTTACTGAAGCAGTTTTTAGAGAATGGGCAGACCCAGAGAAGAAGCCTCTCGGGTCTAGCAATCTCAAGCGTAGGTTTCCTTTTGATCATGACCCAGCTTTAGTTTGGAATAAAACTCCAAAGCTGGATGCACCTTTGGCTAAAGTGTCCAAAAAGTCAGATTTGGCTTTTGAGGACACGGGGTGCTCAAAGAGCCAATGGACAAAAAGAATGAGATATTACTAAAGAGAGCTTGGGACTCTTCTGTTACGAATTTAAAACCTGCTCTAGCCACAACTTGTGTGGCTAGAAATTTGAAGTTTTGGCACACTAATTGAAAACTCATTTGATTGCAAGAATTCCAAGAGAACAGCTCTTAAGAGTCTCTGCCAATGCTCTTTAAGGCAGTTGGATATATTGCAGATGCCTCTGCTGAATCTGTGAAGACGACAGCCAGATCCTCGGCACTCATTAATTCTTCTTGCAGGGCCTTATGGCTAAAGGCTTGGGAGGGGGATGCTGCCTCAAAGCTTAGATTATGTAATCTTCCGTTTTCAGGGGATCTTCTTTTTGGTACTGAATTGGAAGCCATTCTGGAGAGAACGGCAGACAACAAAAGTCTTTCCCTGAAGAGAAAAAGAAGCCTTTTCAGAGGTTTTTTTGGGGTCCCACAAATAGACCTCAGGAGGACAAGTCAAAAAAACACTGGTCGGGACAAAAAGTATGGGGTAGAGGGGAAATTATTTTTAACTCTTCCTCCCAAAACCGCAATGACTTCCTGCTTTCAGTGGGAGGAAGACTGGGTGACTTCCTCCAAAGCTGGATAGAGGTTACCTCCAATCAATTTATTCTGAGTCTGATAAAGGTTTGGTACAGGTTGGAGTTCAACAGTTTGCCTCCCAGGCGATTTCCGGTTACAAATCTGCCAAGACAACCAGACAAGGCAGAGGCGCTTTGTCTCTTGTCAGGGGATCTGTTAGACCAGAGAGTAATCTCTCGAGTTCCAAAGCAGGAGGAGCAGCAGGGATTTTACTCCCACCTTTTTTTAGTAAGAAAGCCGTCGGGAAGATTCCGCTTGATCCTAAACTTAAAACCTTTAAATGTGGTGGTAAGATACAAAAGGTTCAGGATGGAATGGATCTTCTCAATCAGAACCCTTCTACAACCCAGAGGTTACATGGCTACTCTGGATTTAAGAGATGCATACTTGCAGATCCCTATTCACCTGGCTTTTCAGCAGTTTTTAAGGTTAGCAGTGAAAATAGCTCAGGTAATTCACCATTACCAGTTCAGGGCCCTCCCATTAGGGCTTTCCTCCACCCCTCACATTTTTTCAAAGGTATTAGGGGAAGCTCTGGTACCGTTGGGGCTTCAGGGAGTCAACATAATTTCCTATCTAGACGACATCTTGTTATCAGCAACTGTGGCCAGCCAGTTGGAGAGAGATTTAAAAATAACTCTGGGTTTGTTGCAGGTTTTGGGGTGGATTTTTAATCTGCAGAAATCCAGTCTAGTTCCCTCTCAGGAAATTATTTACCTGGGTTATGTGTTAAATACGGTGAAGCTGGAAACTTTTCTTGCTCAGGAAAAGGTTCTAAAGGTTTGTTCAGCGGTCAGTTGGCTCCAGAGAAGTCATCCAGTGTCCTTGAGAGAGATAATGTCAGTCCTGCGGCTCATGACTGCCTGTTTGCCCGCAGTTAAAAGTGCTCATTTGCATCAGAGACCATTGCAGCATTTTTTTCTAAGAAAGTGGAATCGGGCTATGGACATTTTAGACTCTTGTCCCCCTTCCTGCATCCGTGAAGAGAAGTTTGGTGGTGGCGAATTCAGACTAAACTGAACTAGACTAAACTGCCGACAGATGCAAGCTCCTGGGGGTGGGGAGCCCATCTGGGGAGACAGATAGCTCAAGGTCACTGGTCTGGGAGAGAGACAAAAATGTCCTCAAACCGGAAAGAGATAAAAGCAATAGAAAATGCTGTCAGAGCATTTCGGAACAAATTGAAGGGAGATCATCTCTTAGTATTCTCAGACAACATAACATCAGTCATCTATCAGAGCAAACAGGGAAGCAGAAGAAGTCTTCCTCTAGGGTACCTAGCCAAGGAAATATTTTCCTGGGCGGAAGTGAATCTGGCTTCCCTGGCAGCAGTTCATTTGAAGGGAACCCACAATCCCCTGGCAGATTACCTCAGTCATCATCAAATACTTCAGGAGTGGAGTTTAAACCAGGAAGTCTTTTCCCTCCTATCAGAGAAGTGGGGTCCTTCAGCAGTAGATCTCTTTGCATCTCAGGAGAATGCAAAGATTATTATTATTATACAGGATTTATATAGCGCCAACAGTTTGCGTAGCGCTTTACAATATAGGGCAGACATTACAATCACAATACAATTCAAGACAAGATGGTAAGAAGGGCCCTGCCCCTGAAGGCTTACAATCTAAAAATAGATCAGTCTTTTTCCTTGCATCCAGGAGATTCTGCTCTGTCGGTGGGTGCACTGTCAAACCCATGGATGTTTCCTCTGTGTTTTACACCTTTCCTCCAATCCATCTTATTCCGAAAAATTTTCAGAAGTTTTTCGTGGAGGAGATGGAACTCATTTTAATTGAGCCCTTTTGGCCGAAAAGGGCTTGGTTTACTCTACTGCTCTCCCTCACGGATCACCCACCATGGGCTCTTCCTCGCAGGCCAGATCTAATATCTCAGGGCCTGATTCTTCATCCGGAAGTGATCAGATTCAGACTAACAGCCTTTTATCTGAAGAAGACATTCTAAAAGCCAGAGGTCTTTCTAGTACGGTCATTTCTACTCTTCTACATAGCCGTAAGCCCATAACTAGGAAGATTTACGGCAAAGTATGGAAAACCTTTAACTCCTGGAGAGGCAGGTTTAACAGGAAAAGCAAAACAAACGACAAACGCACTCAACAATTTGTTACCAGTTATACAGTAAGGTGCACACGAAATGGGCTTTGAACAGTAGAACAGTAGAAAGGCATCATGGCACACTCACAAACTAGCATGTAAAACAACTTGTCTCACCACTAAGGACAATGACAGAGGTTTGGATACACGTCTTCAAGAGGTGCCTTGGCGCGGCAGTGCGGCTTACACATCCTTTGCAGAAGACCTGAACGTGATCTTCAGGCGCTCTATTGCACTTAAAGTGACATTAACCCCTTCATGACTGAGACCCTTTTTTCCATTTTTGCACCCATGTTATATTCCACATTTTAGGCCTGAAAATGGCGTAAAACCCCCCAACATTATATATTTTCTGAATGCCAAGACCCTATAGAATAAAATGGTGGTAGTTGAAAATTTTTATGTTGCGCAATATTAGCGCAACTCCTTATTAAACCCCAAAATTTAGTGACAAATTTAATTAAATGCCCCAAAACACAACAAATTACCCATTTTTTAATGAAATATAAAAGATGAGGTTACAACGAGTAAAACGATACCCAACATGCCCAGTTTACAGATTGCGTGCGACCGTGAAACGGCGAAAAACTGCAGTACCCCAAAAAATCAATAAAAGACACTTTAAAAGCCCATTTCCAGACTCCTTTATGATAACCAGTTAGCGATGGAGCACTTTCCAAGTCCAGGGTCGTTGGCATTGCCTTTAAAACTTGCCCTGTCTCTGATAGCTCACTCTGAGTAGGCCTATTGGACTGAGCACCAGGAGCTTCCTTTTTTGTTTGGATTGCTGGGCATCCTAAACTGTGGAAGACTTTAACTCTGGGTGCAGTATCATTACCTTGTTTCCCACCATTTAGAGTCAAGAAGCATCTCCCGCTGCTGGCATTGCAAAGAGCCACATGGAATTCATCATCGGTCCGTTCCTACTGCCTGCATACAGTGACTTTGGTCACCTTGCACCAGCTGTCTCCTATCGGCTACCAGCTGCCTGGAACCTGAGGCTTTGCCTTTGAGTTGGTTGCCTTACTGCTGTGTGGTCACATGTCTGTTTCTGAACACAAAGGGGAAGTTCCCACTGCATCAGGTGACCCAAGCTCACACTTCCTTAACGGTTCCAGGGACATTTGTATGGACATCTGCCATCTGCAATCCAGTTACCCTATGATTATAGGGCCTGCTTCCTTATCGGAGTCCTCCTTAGCTCTGCTAAGTGAGGGCAAGTCACATGCATTGTTGGCGAGAGTCTCTACTACAGTCAAGTTAGACTTTCTGGATGGGTCTGACTGCAGAGGCTCCAAGTGTGTTCCTGTGCCTTCCCCACAGTATCTAGAAGCTGATCTGCCCATGCCTTTAGAGGCACCTGACTCATGGTCATAGTGACTATGTCTGGGTCTCCCAAGTCTTTGCTTGATGAGATTACCCTTGAGGAGCCCCAGTCTTCTTCTGCTATTCTCTAATCTAATATTAAAAGAGACCATTTTGGCTGTTGATGTGGTAGTGCTTCTCTGCATCTAGAGCAGGAGTCTCAAACTCAATTCACTCACTGGACACATTTTTTTTCTCCTATGGGGGCCGCTTGTCAAATTTCATACTTCAAAATAAAATTTAGCTATATACAGTACCAGTGTTAATATTTGCGTGTGTTTCTAATGTTGGTGTGTATTTGTGATGGTTTTTTTGTATGCAATGTCAGTATATTTCTGTGATGGTTTGTGTTTTGTCAGGATTTCTGTGAGTAAATCTTACAAAAAAGACAAAAATCTTAAGTACCTTAAAGTGACATTAAACCCTCAGATTTTTGTAACATAAACCAATACTGTAATGTGTGCCTTACTGTAATCCATGGTTGTTTCCCTTCTCTTTGCTGCTCTTCCTTTTAAATCCGTATCTCTTCTCATGCTGGGCCGGCTGGGAGGTTTACATTCAATCGATCGAGCGTCTCTATAGACGCTAGATCGCTTGTATCAACAGCTGTCACTGCTGTTGCCGGTCCCGAGATCCGCTGTGCCTGATGCGGCCGGGACCAGCACAGCTCTATGACAGGAGATCAAAGGGAGATCAGTATACGATCTCCCTTTTGATCTTCTCTCAGTTAATGCAGGAAGTGATGTACATTACATCACTTCCTGCAGCAATAAATTGTGTGTAAAAAAAAAAAAAAAAGTAATACAAAAATTAAAGAAGCATAAAAAAAAGGTAAAAAGAAAACAATATTTTTTAAGTCCCCGCCCCCCACATACACACACAGATATGTGTCGGGTGCGCCCACGTGTGAAAACGACGATTGCGCCCATTGTGCCGTACATGTCGCATATCGCCGCAAACGTCGGAGTGAGAGCAATAATTTTAGGGCCATTGATCACTTTGGGCCTATGGGCGTTTTTTGCGGGCGCACGCAATTTTAAAGCTTGACATGTTTGGTGTCTATTTACCCGACATGATCCCAACTTTTATGTTTTACCAAAAATATGGGTAAAAATAAATGTTTTATAACATAACGTACCTCCAAAAGAAAGCTCTATCTGTCCCCCAAAAATGTTAACATAAATTGCAAGGCTATAGTTCGGTCATGCTGACTGGTGAAATTTTTGACTGACTGGTGAGACACCCTAAAATTTTTCACGCCCTGCTTATAGTATTAAGGTTTCAGCATGCAATACAGACACCGATTTAACTATTGTGATATATAACATGTCTTTATCTTAAAATTAGATTAAACCAAGTCTTATAAAGAAACAATAATAAGTGTTTTCAACAAAGGACCAGTAATTAGATATGCATTGATTATATCAACTTGCACATGACATTCTTCATTCTTTCAAGCAGAAGTGCAACCAAAAAATATTTAAATGAAAAACTATATTGGTTGTAATGCCATTGCACATTCTACCTATTAGCCGTCCATTCAGGATGGAACCGAAACTGGAAGTCCAAAGAGAATAGTTCTGATTGAATCTCTTCCCAAATCGTCTCTCCCTAATATTTTTATCTAGTTTTAGTTAGTCGACTAAAATATCAATATATTTAGTTATAGTTTTAGTCATAACTTCGTTTTTATTTAGTTTTAGTCACTGAAAAAGTGTTGTTGACGAAAACTATGATAAAAATTATTGGTCGATGAAATTAACGCTGCACCTCTCCAAGATTACTGCCATGATGGCGTACAATCTCACATTTACCGTATTTTTCTGCTCCATAAGACGCACTTCCCCCCCCCAAAGGCTTCTTATGGAGCGAATCCCTTGTTTTTTGTACATTTTGCCCTGCTAAAGCAGCCCACCATGGAGCTCCATTCTTCGTCTGCTCTGTGTGATCACTGAGACCGTGGCGCTGTAATCACAGCGCCACATGTCTCAGCAGTCACTTACTGCAGCTTCTGTGACAGAAACTTCCTGCGTCCTAAGTACCGGTGCGCCTTATGTAGCGCAAAATACGGTAGTTTACTAATTTGTATTGAATTGTATTGTCTATATGGGAGTGAGCTTGGTGCGGTGACTCCTTTACAACACACACAGGGACCACGGGGAACAAAAGTAGCCACCCTCCAGAATGAAAGACAATGTCTGCATGAATTTACAAATCGGCTACATTTTTGTTAATAGTTAAGGTACTTGAAAGTATTTTTTAGATTTAACTTTTGAGTTTAGTTTAAAGACCGTTAATTTACATTGTCATTCATTTTCTAAATACTAATTTAGTTTGTTTTTCTCCATGTTAGGAACTTAACCTCACCTTCTGCGAGATCAAGCGTGATGCAGCACTTACATTGGCAGAATCACTTGAAGACAAATCTGAGTTGGAAAGATTGGATTTAAATGGTGCATATTGTTGTGCTTTAAAAATGTATACTTTAATGTTTTAAAGCCTACATCAGAGTGTGACTCTATTTATGTTTATTTCACAGGAAACAATTTTGGAGAGGAAGGTTGTGAACATATTCAGGAAATTCTGGATGGCTTTAACATGGCAACGGTTTTGGGATCACTGAGGTAGGGAGAATATAGTCTTTCATTTCTATTCTATAACCCCAGAACACAGTCACGTATTTGAATATTTGGTAATCATTATAGACTTAATTTGTCCCTCCATGGACATGAAAGGAAATAGAAATTTAGTACCGTGTTTCCCCGAAAATAAGACAGTGTCTTATATTTTTTGTGGCTCAAAAAAACACACTAGGTCTTATTTTCGGGGTAGGTCTTATTGTTTTTTTATGTACAACAATCCAAAGTTAATACAAATTCAAAATAAATAATCCAAAATGACAAAGATAACAATAGGGTGATCAGGGCAATCAGGGGGTGCCGTACCTTTCCAAGAGCAATTTGGTAACCAGAATGAGGGAAGTGCGATTTCACTATGGATTCCTCACAGGCGGAGTGCATTTGGTATCACTCCGCATGTGACAGGAGCCGGCGCTATAGAGGAGGCATCGGCTTATGCGGCTCTGCTCCCTCCGCTGCCGCCTCGCTTCCTCAAGTGCTGACTTCGTTGGCACCGCTGATTCTCTCCCGCCTCTCCAAGTTCCCCCTTATGCCACCAGCGGCCCAGGGATCGGTCACAACTAGGTCTTATTTTCGGGATAGGTCTTATATTTTAGCAATTCCCAGAAATGATACTAGGTCTTAATTTTGGGGTAGGTCTTATTTGCGGGGAAACAGGGTATTTGCCATCAAACTTTCTTCTTGGAGTTTATTGTGGGACATGAGTTCCTCAATATGGCATGCTGGTAGTAGGTAGAGGTGTTATACTGAGCTGGCCTACAATGTTATTTATTTGCCAGTGTCCAGCCTTCCTGTAGGCAGGAGTATACCCCGAGAGTTAATAACTTACTGGGTCCCTCAAAAAAATTTACTAATGTGAATTATATAGCTGCCAATATTTTTACCAGATATTTACTCCTTTTAACCTTTCGCTGCCTAGTCCTTTTATAAATTTTTTTCCATTTTTTGCACACATGATATAATTCACATTTTAGGCCTGAAAATTACTTAAAACCCCCCAAAGCATATGTTTTCTGAACACTCTTTAGGATAAAATGTTGGCAGTTGCAAGTTTTTATGTTACACGGTATTGGCGCAACTCTTTATCAAACCCCACATTTTTTTTTTAAATGCACGTAAGTTAATTTTAGTGCTCCAAAACACAACAAAATACCCATTTGTTTATAAAATATACATGATGAGGTCACAACGAGTAAATAGATACCCAACATGCCCAGGTTAAAAATTGTGCGTGTCCATGAAACGGCAACAAAATTCGTACCTTAAAAGGGTCATAGATGACACTTTAAAAACCCCTATAGGTCATCAGTTTAGAGATACGCCTAATTATTGGCCCTAGAATTATTGCTCTCACTGTGGCGCGCAGCAATACCCAACATGTGTAGCACGATTGACGTTTTCGTACGTAGGACGCACCCAATTTGGGGGCTTTTTTTTTTTTTTACTTGCTATCACGTAGGTGGGCTTACAAGCCCCCCATGTGATAGCATATTGGCAGTGACAGGTCCTCTTCAAGGTGATATCGAGGGTCCAACAGACCCCTAGTATCACCTTTCCACTTTAAATAAGCTATTCAAGTGCAGGCTTCAGTAGCTGAGCAATGACCGCTCAGAGACCGCAATCTGCGTTGCACTCGGTCCGATAGAGCAGGAAGGAGATTGGTGAATTAGAGTTCGCCGCTCTCCTTCCTAGCTTCCTGCTGGCACCCGACATGCCGGTCCCAGGCCCACAGGAGGGGCAACGGAGCCAGGAAAACACAGAGGGGTTGTCTGGCGTGGCGGGGGCTGGACACTTTACTGGGCCATAGAAGCAATGTGGCGGCAGCTGAGCTGCCAGAATCACTTCTATTGTGAAACCAGCAGCTGGCTTTACAAAGGTAAACAGAGCAGCTTTCTGGTTACAGGGTCGTGCTGCCAATGACGTACTAGGTACGTTCGTGGACTTGGAGGAGTTAAAGTAACTTTGTAAGATAGAGGTATAGCAATTGCTATTGCTGTCTTTTTAACCGCTTGCCGTCCGCCCGTTGTGAAAAAACGGACGGACGGCAAAGTCCCATGGGCGGGTTGCTGTAATTAAAGTCGTTTTTTTTCTGCTTGCGCACGCCCGGGCAGAAAAAAACTGTCGTTTTTTTTACAGCCGTTACCGGCTGTTTGACATACAACCAATCGGCGGCTCTATAGCCACCGATCGGTTGTATGTTGTGTTTTGCTTTCAATCCTGGGATCTGCTAGCCCATCTGCGGCTTGGGAGGGCGTCAGGAGGTAAGATGGGAGGGAGATCTCCCTCCGTGCTGTAATACATCACTTCCGCATTCACCTGTCAGTCATCTGGCTGCTATAGCCAGAGAAAAGAACCTGATGAAGCAGATCTCTGCTTCATCAGCTTCTTTTGGGGTCCCCAGGTGACAGGGGTCTTAGAGACCCCTAATGCCTCCATAAAGAGGACTTGTCAGTGTGCCTTTGCTATTATATAGGGAGATTGTTATCCCCCTATGTGATAGCAATAACAATAAGTTTAAAAAAATTAAAGTCACATGTAAAAAAAAAAAAAACACAACATTTTTAAGTCCCCCACCCCCACGTTTACGCACATATAAACGTAAATACGCATTTGATGCGCGAACGCGTGAAAATGACAATTGCGCTACACATGTAATACCACTGCGAACATCGGAGTGAGATCAATCATTTTAGGGCCATCAATCACTGATAACACTAAACTGATGAGCGGTAAAAGCTTTTAAAGCGTCGCCTATGGCCAATTTTGGGTATTGTTGTTTTTTGAGGTTTTACACGCGCGCAATTTTAAGGCTTGACATGTTTGATGTCTTTTTACCCGACGTGACCCCACCTTTTATATTTTACCAAAAAATTGGGTAAAAATAAATGTTTTATAATTTAATATAGGGGAAACTGTTTTTTATTTTTTTATTTCACCCCAGTGGTGATTAAATACCACCAAAAAAAAGTTCTGTGTGTCCCTAAAAAATGGTATAAAATTCATTTCAGTACAGCGTTGCATGACGGAACTATTGAAGCGCTGACAGGAACAGGGTTTAACACCGCGGACTTCAAGTGGTTAAATTAGCAGGCTTTGAAGCTGTCATCCTTGCTTTATTATTTAGTCAATAGCGATGCAGAATGTATTCATTTATTGCTCAAAAGCTTACACCTGTAAAATCATGTCATCATTGACTGCTTTCACAATTGTTTCTTTTTAAATGTACCCTTTACAATTTGCCATGTGTCAACTTTTTATAGTGATGATGAAGGTGATGAGGATGACGATGATGAAGAGGATGATGATGAGGAGGAAGATGATGATGAGGAGGAGGAGGATGATGATGATGAAGATGATGATGAGGAAGGAGGAGATGAAGAGGAGGAAGATGAACAGAAAGTGGAGCCATTAAAGAAAATTCCTCAGCCTGTAATGTTATCTTGAAACTTCCACATTATTTAGATTACCTGAAGTCTAAACTATAGATATTGCTTTGTTAGGTTAAACAGCTGTCATGTTTTATGCTAAGCTTCTGTATTAGACTGCCTAACAATCTTGTAGTTGTTCCCTTGTATACAGAACTAAGAATGCCAGACTACTGTCAACTAATTTTCTAATTTAACACAAAGAAGATGGATAACGTAGTAATGTTAAAAAAAGGATAGAAATTTGTCTTCTGATCTTTCAAAATGTTTTGCCTTCTGGGGTTTAAGCATAATACTATAATGTAAACTAAAATATGTAAAGACTACATGGGCTACATAAAATATGTAAAGTCAGTCAAGTGTGTATGCAAAATCAGCGTATCAGGGCCACTAATGAAGTTGAGAGTATGCTGTATTTTCCTATTTTCAGAAGCACTAAGACGGGCTTCACAATGTTGTGGTGCATTAGCGCATTCTTGTCAAAATGTGTTACGTCAACTCAACCCGTTGATTTTGAATGGGTTGACAACAAACCCCAGGCTGAAACTGAACCTGACATTTTTTAGACACGCAATGCATGGTATTTCCTTGCTGTGTGTTGGGGGTGTGCTGCAGTGCGGGTATGTTGCCTTAGTGGGTTGGGCTACCATTCAAAATTAATGGCAGTACAACTGCTGATGCATGCATTGTGCACATGTTACGGTAGCCTATTATCACACACATTTACTTAATACATTTTCTCAACAAAGTAAATACTGGTGGGAGCAAGTTATAGCTACCATTTTGGAAAAGCAATAGGAAGACATTCTTGGTATGTTACCCAAAATGTCTCCATCACAGTCTGTTAGATTCTCTGGAACTGTGCATTCATAAGATATATTGTACATTTCAGTTCCTATTTAATATTCAGCTACATACTGAATTTAATTGTACTTGATTTTGGAGAGACGAAGTGGATCTTATTCACTTTTTATGGAGATATGCACAGCTTTTCTGCTATTGGCACAGTGTAGTCTCCATGATAAATACAGTATTTAGTTTTAGTGTAACCTCCTTACGGGGGTATACTTGGGTATTTTGACACTTCCACTTTGGACAAAAAAATCATAGATGATGTTAGCAGTGAATTCTTTGTTGCCCATAAGTTAATTTCTAGAAAATGGATAGAAGAATGATTTTGAGAGATGCGATATATCCGCTCATTGGAAAAGCTGACCTACATTGATCGAGGCTACCCACTGAAATTTCAGAAACTATGATCTCCAATGTCTCGAAAGGATTAATAACTTCCTGGAGCCATGCCTCTCTCCCACTCATATTCCTGTGTGGTTGGCTAGTTTGTAACTCGCACAGTTGGAGAATGCATACTTTGAGCAAAGCTGAGGTTGTAGTAAATACAAACTCAGTACACAAGACTCCTGTAGGACACATGTACATATGATACACCAACTGTTTTTGCTGAACCCACCCCTTTTAATACCATGTGCAAATTGGAATGTCTTACATTTTCTACTTGCATTTCTTGTACTTTTTCTGTTTTGTATATTTCTGTTGTTTTGAAAAAAAAAAAACTATTAAAAACGCAATAAAGCCATCTTTAAAAAAAAAAAAACACAAGACACTAAAGCACCCACCTGGTTCCCACCAGATAGCCTTCGGTTTGCTCGGCTTCCATTTGCGCCGTTTCAAAATAGCACCCTTTTTGGTCGGTCATGTGACCACCATTGAAACAACAGCGCCACCCAGTGTATCCTTATGGATGCAGAGGAACACTATAAAACTGCATGTGGCTAGAATACAACAGTATGTACAGTACTGTGCAGTCACTGGCAGCTAGATCAGGGCAGAGGTGGTGGATCCGTAGCTAAATTAAAAAAAAACTGTGGACCCCTACAGAGGGACACTTGAAGGTATGGTGGTGGACACATGCAGATGCGCTGGTGGTACAGGGATAAACATGGAGATATACACAGCCACATAGAGACATGCTGGAGGTACAGGGGATACACTTGGAGATATGGAGGAGCATAGAGGTACACTTGGCGATATGGAAGAGCACAGGGGGTACACTTGGAGATATGTAGGAGCACAGAAGTACACTTGGAGATATGGAGAAGTACAGGGGTACACTTGGGGATACGGAGAACAAAGGTACACTTGGAGATCCGGAGGAGAACAAGGGTACTCTTGGAGATATGGAGGCACATAGAGCCAATCTAGGGGACCAAGGGTACCCTTAGAGCATGCATAACATTCATTTCAAAGCTTCAAATGTAGTGTTTTATGTCATTTTTTTAGAGAGGCCTGGAACCTAACCTAACCCATTGACTTACATTATATACTGGGTTTCAATTTACATCGGTTTCTATTTGCAACCATTCCTTGTGGAACCTAACCGTGGCGTAAATCGTGTGTTACCTGTATTTAATTATATTTATGTTTTTGTTTGTCAAGGAATCCACACCTGCAGCGGCCCCAGTTCCACCTGTTGATGCATCAACTTTTCTCAGTTTTCCTTCCCCAGAAAAACTCTTGCGGATGGGCCCTAAGCGCTCAACAATAGCGTCTCAGGTATTAATTTGTTGTGCGTTCCACTCTGCTGGAATATACTTGTCAATTTTATTCTATTGCATTTGATAACCATCTCTATTATTTAAAGTAATCTTTCTGATTATATTTATTTCTCTTCCATTGAGGTACACAGGAAGTCTTTAACCTTTAAAGGAGAACTACTAGATGAGTGATCTTCACTCAACCTCATAGTTCGAGCCGACTTCTGACAATGAAACTGTCAACCCCCCCCCCTGGAGGGGGGCAGCTGTCACGCAGCTGGGTGGATCTCGACAGTAATGTCGGGATCTCTCCCGGCTGCGGCATTCTCAGTATACCACGAGCTGCAGCTCGCGATGTACTGAGCTTTGGGTCACAGGAGGATGCTAGCATATGTCCTCCTGTGACCCTTAGGAGAACTATTGGGGAAAACAATTAACCCATAGTTCTCCTTTAATATTACCTACAGGAGGATTGGACACTGGCTAACAAAACAATAAAAATAGTAGGCCAGCCTAAGATAACCCCTCCTACCATCATGCCTCCGTTTTTTTAATAGTGTATTAGGAGGATGGATATTTTTTCATCATCACTGCTGCGTTAAAGGTTCATTCTTTTTTTTTTTTTTTTTTTTTTTTGTTTCTTGCCAGCACTTTTTGTATTCAGTTTTTTTTTTTTCTTTGAAGACTCTTCTCTAAGCTCCTGGAGTTTACTCTCGAATTGCAGCTATTCAGCATTGTTGTCCTTAGTTTGGCTTTTAGAGTACTGCATCTTCACTGGACTGGGCGTTGCAGGGATAGCCAGGAAGTGACCTTTGGGTACTGGGTATCATATGAGGGCCTTTCCAGACTCTGTTATGGTAAAAGTTAGCTGCAGAGCGCTTTTGAGGTCCAGAGCCGCTGGCATTGCTTCAGCACTTGCCCTGTTTCTGAACATTCAGTTTGGCAGCCTGTTATGTTCTCCAAGTTCTCTAGCTATGTCTGGTGTAGCTGGATCCTCTGCCCTTTCAGCTATCGTTTTTACTGGGGAAGTACCGATACCGGTTTTTCTGTATCGAGTATGAGTAACGATATTTATATTTTGGTACCTCCCAGTACCGATACCAGTGCTTCTGCTAGCATGGAGCTGGCTTCCTGGGCAATCAGGAAGGGTCATAACCCGTTGCCCGGCTTCCTGATTAACCAGGAAGCGGGCTCCATGCTGTTTGGCCGGATCAAGGTGTCCTTGGCCCAGTTCCTGTAATAAAGCGATTTCAGGGGTTTTACTCTAACCTGCTCACTCCAAATAAAATCTACCACACTTGTCATAGCGTCTTTTCAACAGGAAGACTTTCTAGCTTCTGTGGACATCAAATTACCTACATGGATTCATCTTTCCGGCACATCAGCAATTTATACACTATTTGTGGAGCCCCTACCCTGCTAGTTTCTATCCCTGTCCTTCTGACTCTTGTCTGCACTTTGGGTATTCATCAAGGTGCTGGCCTCAGTATGATCCTTGCTGCACTCTGGTGGCAACTCTATTGTAGGATACTTAGACAACCTCATTTTGAGGGAACAGTCGGTAAGTCTTCTGTTGGACGATGTGTATCTGAGTGTCTAGATGTTACAACAGTTCAGGAGGGTCCTGACACTTCAGAAATTGTCACTGGATCTGACTCATCGATAGGAGTATCTGGATCTAGTCCTGGACAAATTTCCCGACCAGAATGTTCCTTCCACAGAAGAGACTTCATACTCTCTGGCCTCTGGTCAAAATGGAAAGAATTCTGGGGAGCTTTATTGCTCTGGACTGATCCAGGCAGATCTATGCAGACCTGGTAAGACCTTCCGGTAGATTCTCTGTGGGCACTGCAAGATTGCCAGAATTTTCTGTCCCAAGGTCAGGTTTGCCTTCCTGATTTCTCGGTAGCTGGCTTTTAACAGCGTGGCTACTGAGGGCTGAAAAACTTGGGCATCTCTAAAACTGATTCCTATGATGCTCAAATCTAGGAAGCCTAGGTATCCTGCAAGGTCTGTCATCTGATGTGAAAGGAATACTTAACTTGGTGTGAGTCTTGGGGCATGTTGGGGAGGTGTTTCTCAATGGAATGAACCCTTTCCTATCAACTGAGTTTGGAGCATTGCTTTACTCTCAGCACTATCAAGGGTTTTAATCTTGTTTCAGAGACCATTGGCCTCTTCACTCACTAAATAATACCTTTGTAAAAGGGGCCTCCCATCTTCTCCAGTGACTTGTGTAACCTGAATCTGGTTCTCTGCACTTGAGAAACTGCAATTTCAACCCATTAGAGACATTCTTCTATCTAATCTCACCCACAAAGTGTTTTCTCTTGTAGCCATTACCTTTGCAAGGCGAGTGTCTTAACTGTTGGCCTTATCCTGCAAATAACTCGTTTTGGTTTTGCATATGGACAAGGGGGTGTTGAGGCCAGGACTTCCTTCTTACATAAGGTAGTTTCTGCCTTTTACCTCAGCTAGGACATTGTTCTTCCATCCCTCCAGTTCACCAAAAGGAAATTTTCCTTTATTTTTGGGATACGGTGCATCTACTGTATCTGCCAGCCACTGCTTATTTCAGTATGACTGATTCTCTTTTTGTCATCCTAAATGGACCCCAAAAGGGTGCTTGGCTTCTCGTTCCACCATCTATAGGTAGCTCAGACAGTTCATCATTCAAGCTTATGGTCTCAAGGATGGTGTTCCACCCTTTCCTATCAAAGTGCTTGTTAAGAATATGTAAACCTTTAGTTGAGGTTCACACATTTGCCCCCCACATTAATGCACATTTTAAATGGACGGCCAACACACTCCAGCATGGCAAAAACTGCACCTGATCCTTTTTTAGTAGCGTCGGGCACTGCGCAGGTGCATTGGCTTAATTCATTGGAGTATGTTGCTGAGTGTTACAGCGACGCAGTAGTGAGATCCTGGTCTCAAAGTGTATGTATAACCAATTATTGTATTTTTTTTAACATTTTGGATAGAGTAGGGAAATATTGAAATCCCTTTTGGGTTATTTTCTCTTTTGTCCATTGAAGGACACAGCGGAGATGTTGAAGGTATGTCCTTCTCCCTTGAAAGAAACAGCTGCCACTAGCATTTGGCCACCTTCAGAGACCGCCCCTAGGCTGTTCTTGTGCTTTTTTTGCCTAGTGTCCTACTGAAGGAAACTAAAAAAAGAAATTCCTTTACAAATGTTTTTTTACCCATATTTCTGGGCACAGGTGCTCTTTAAGACAGTTTGGGAAAAATAGAATAAAAAAGAAAAGTTGCTTTCCATTTCGTCTTTTTTGTTAGTGAAAAATTAAATTTGGCTGCTTTGTTTACAATCTTTTTGTTCAATCTCCTATAGATTCAAAAGCAGCTATCTACATACGTGCTTTGAATGCAGATGGTATAATTGATATAATTAGGTCGGCCCTCACTGTACATAGTTGATTTTTAAAGTTAAAGGAGATGTACAATGAAATTGGAATGTGTGTGGCCAGCTTTAGTTATATTTTTGCTTTGTTCTTTGTATCTTAGACTGATGTTGCAGACACTGAAAAGGTAGTGCAGACATTCATCCAGATATCATCGGTGTACCGAGATGAACAGACAGTGAAAATAGCAGTGGAAGAAACTGTTGGTAAGCTACTTTGCATACTCCCATCTATTGTCTTTGATAGTGATGTTCCCTCTTAACTTATTTACCTTTTTTAATTCTTTTTAGACTGCCTGATGAAAAAAGCTTTTGGCACTGAGGTTTTTGAACCAAATGTGTTTGTTACGAGTTTACTGATGCGCATGGGTCTTCTTAAGGTACCTTGCTTCTGCTCTGTTGTTTGAGAAATAGAAATTAAACCCACACTCCGGGCAGAATGATCATTCACACAGCCACCCTCTGCACATAACACCCAGCTTTTGAATGATAATTTACACACCCAGTGTGGTGTGTTAATGATCATTCGGCCCAACGTAAGACTTTATTGGCATAGTACAATAAAAGAAGATAATTAACCCCTTCCCAACCAGCGACTTACATAGTATGTCACTGGCAGCGGGCCCGTTTAAACAGACTCTGTTTACATTTGTAGAGGCTTTACAACAGAAGCGATTCTGGCAAGTCAGCTGTCGCCAGATCGCTTCTATTGGTCGGTAAACTGCCGCCCGACACCCCTGCCGTGTTCCCTGGGCTCCGCTGCCCCTCCTGCGACCCAGGACCGACATCACGGGTGTCGAACATCCGTTCACCGATCTCCACCCCGTTTTTGGAACCGGGAGCGATGCAGATTACAACACTTCCGGTCCCATAGCTGTCATTGCTGGGCACCTGAAGCCCAGCAATAAGCTATTGAAGTGCGATCTGCACTTCAATAGCTTATTTCAAGTGTAAAGGTGATACTAGGGGTCTTTTGGACCCCCAGTATCACTTTTAAAGAGGACATGTCACTGCCAATCTGCTATCACATGGGGGGCTTGTAAGTACCCCCATGTGATAGCAATTAAAGTAAAAAATAAAAGCAACAGTTTAAAAAAAATATATGCTAAATCAAATAAATGTAAAAATAATAAAATCATATTTTTTAAAGGCCCCCGCGAACACGCGCATCATAATGTAAACAGGCGTTGGGTGCACCTATGTACGAAAACGACAATTGCGCTACACATGTTGGGTATCACCGCACACGCCAGAGTGAGAGCAGATGCGTATCTCAAAACTGATGACCTGTGGAGGCTTTTTAAGCGTCGTCTAAGGACTTTTTGGAGTATTGAATTTTGTTGCCGTTTCACAGACACACACAAGTTTTAACCTGGGCATGTTGGGTGTCTATGTACTCGCCGTAACCCCATCTTTTATATTTTATTTAAAAATGGGTATTTAATTGGGGCACTAAATGTAACTTTAAGTTAATTTTTCACTACATTTTTTGGGTTTGATAATAAATTGCGCTAATATCGTGCAACATAAAAATATGCAACTGCCACCATTTAATGCTACAGGGTCTAGGCTTTCAGAAAATATATATTGTTTGGGGGTTTGAAGTAATTTTCAGGCCTAAAATGTGGATTATAACATGGGTGCAAAAAATTAAAGAAAAAATCAAAAGGCCTCGGTCATTAAGGGGTTAAACAGACCAGATCATCCTACACCCAACAATTCAATAATTTCACCATTCTAGTAGAAACCTCAGTTGGTGGCTTGCATTGATCTGCGCAGTCATTTTCCTAGTCAAATGCTGGTTGAAATTGTATGTATTACAGCATGACACCCCCCAATATTAAGATCTCCCCACTAGCGTTCTTAGCTTGCCCTCTATCAGGGAGTCTCATTCTTCCTGCTGTAATATGCCTAATGCAAACTAAGTGATAAATTCCCCTGTGAACTGCAGTGTGGAGATTTCCATGTTGTGTCTCTAATAAACATGAAAGAAGCCTGCTGTTGTCCACCCAAACCTTTTATCATTTGTGGACTGATCTGTTTAATGTTGGGATGCACCTCAATTTCGGCCACCAAAACATATGAAAATGGCAAAAGTGCCATCTTTCAGCCGAAATTGTAGTGCATCTCTAGTGTCTCTCCTCCCCGCTGTGCGCTGCTCTGTGTCCCCTCTGACACAGCTCAGTGTCCAGCAGGGAGGAGAGAAACTGTCATGTGAGCGTGTCACAGGAGGCTGAGTGGGTCGGTGATGGAGGAGAGCTCATCTGCAACAGATTAGGAGAGCGGTGTGTGGATGAAGACAGCTGTCACTGGAGACCAAGCCAGCCGTGAGGGGGAGGAGTCAGCTGTCAAATGAGACTGAGCTCTCCTCCCTATGCCCAGCCTCCTGTGAGAGCCGATCCAGGATGGCGAGCGGGATCCATTCAGTGATTGCCAAATGTTTGTAAATAACTACATAGTATATGAGTTACTGTGTACCAGTTATGAATGAATAGGAAGTGATCTACATCACTTCCTATTAATTCATGATTGTGTACATAGCAACTCATGGGAAGAATTTATCAAAACTGGAGCAGGCAAAATCTGGAGCAGATCTGCACTGCAACCAATCAGCTTCTATCTCTCATTTTCAAAGCTCAACTGAGCAAACTGAAGAGAGATGCTGATTGGTTGCCATGGGCAACTGCTCCAGTTTCTGTCTGCTCCAGTTTGATCAATTAACCCCATACTATATTCACAATGTATGAATGAACAGGACCACTCAGTATAGAGGCTTCCTGTTCAATATAACAGATGCTGCAGAAAAAAAGATTGAGTTGTGTGTCCTCAATCTCTTTTTCTATTTTAAAAGGGAAATATCAGGGGATCTGTTTAGACCCCCAATATTTCACTGAAGCCCCCAGCAGTACAGTTAAAAAATAATATTATTTAATACAAATAATAACATTTAAAATTTTGAATTTTTTTTTTTTAAAAAGGTTAGAAAAAAGACATTTCGGTTTCGGCCTGACATTTTTTTTTATTTTCCGTTTCAGTCTCAAAATTTTCATTTTGTTGCACCTCTAGTTTAATGCATTCTTTTTGTGGGAATTTCCAATATTTCTTCACATTGACAGATTGCAGTTCTGCTACTTGATGATTTTGTCTTAACAGTTTTGGTAATCTTATTTTTTATAGAGTGAGGATAAGATTAAACCTGTTCTGCACTTGTATGGACCGCTGCTGACCCTGAATCATGTAGTGCAACAAGACTATTTTCAGAAATCTCTTGCTCCTGTCCTGCTGGCTTTTATCTCAAAGTAAGTGCACCCCACTAGCTTTGCACATAGTTAGGAGCATGCATGTCTTTTTATATACTGAATAAGAGAAGAATGTTTACAACTGCATTACTTTTTTTTTTTCTTTCATCTTTGCAGACCCAATGTTGCACTGGAATCTCAGCCTCTTGCTCGACACACCCTGCTACAAACACTTCATAATTTGTAACTTTCCCAGCGAGACCATTAAATGCAAAGCCTGACAAAGGAAGGAAATAAACTGAATGTTACTATGAGACTCCGAACCACTGGTGACGAAGCTCCTTCTGCTCTTATCCTCGGCCCCTTTTCCAGTGTTTTGTTTACATTTATTAAGAGTTGGAGCTCTCTGATTCTTAAAAACCCAATTAGTTTGGTTTAGATCTCAGGAAAGGAAAGACTAGAACTGGGCAAACATCCAAAGGGATGCTTGAAATTTGTGCTACTTCACCACTTGTAAGGATTACTTTGACCTCCCTGACTTACAAGATTTTTTGAATTCTCAAAATCTGAATCTTTGATAGTTTGTAGTAAAATATTGTGGCTAATAATATGCATTGCTGGTGTGTATATTAGTAATGGTAAAAACAAGTCTCTGCCTGCGCCATATACAGTCCATTCTTGTTAATAGGTTAATGATGTTGGAATGCTGGGGAGAGTTGTCATGGGGATACTTGTTGAAATATATAAAAAGATGTTAGTCATGAAAACTTTAATGTTATTGTTGAGTTTAACTCTTGTGATGCTTGTTTTGGTACATGTTAGGGTCAAGATAATCTCTACGGTCCAGTTCACGCCACAAACTCCGGGTTCCAGTGCGTTCGGCCACTGGAACACTAGCCAGCCGGCTCCCTGCGTTCAGGGGCGGGAGGGGGGTGTGGTGATGCATTGAAGTCAATGGCACCGCAGCCACGCCTCCTGCCCGCACCCGGGACACAGGCAGTATTTTTGCAGATTGCACTGGACTGGAACGCATGTACTACTCTGCCTGCATTCTGGGTGCGGGCGGGGGCTTGGCTGCGGTGCCATTGACGTCAGTGCACCATCATGCCCCCTCTCGCCCCTGAATGCAGGGAGCCGGCCTGCTTGCGTTCCGAATGCACTGGAACGTGGAGTTTGTGGTGTGAACCGGCCCTAAAGAATGTGTCCTTCAAACTCAAGGAATACTAAGGGCTATGCTACTTGTAAATACTTTTTCTTTTCTTCATTCATTCCACAGTTATCTTTTGCCCCTTGTCAACTAAAAGCATGTTAGTGCTATTTTCCCTATTTATAAGAAATGTGTCTGAAGCCATGTGGGTTGCTGTTTTATTTAATCCACATAATCTAGTTTCATAAAGGAAAATGAGGGGAAAAAAACCTGACATCATTTAGGCGATGGTGCTGAGTGTTCTGTGAGCACTTGTTACACTGATACAGGGACTGAAATTCTTTATTTTGTGTGTAAAAAGTGTTTTTTACCATGGCAGCAACACAGCAACAAATAACATTTTTAAATGTAGGCGTGATTGCTGTGGGTATTGGGGGGTTTTTTTTAGACATATTTAATGCCTGCATATAGTAATCTGAAATAGTGTAGGAACAGATGACTTAAAATATATAACACAAATACCTGTTTCTGTTTATTATTTCTCTTTACACTGAAATTAGGTTATTTACTTGTTGGATGCTGGATATTCTGTAGAATTGTTAGAGTTCCCATAAAATGGCATTAAATCTTATAAATAAAATGTTATGGAAAGCCCTTAGTCCTCAAAAACATGGCGTAGGTCAAGAATCTACTGGAGTTTGTTTGTTGAACCATCACTTGTAGCGCATCTATACCTTTTCATATTGCTTTATTAAACAATGTGTAGAGTACAGATTACCACTTCTGAGTTTTTCCAGTCTTCATAGTAGAGTTCTTTGTTCTATGCACAAGAAAGAAAGCATTTACTTATAACTCCTCAAACAAATTCAGTAAATTTTTCAGTTTTGTAATAGCAGTGCTTTATTTACTTAAAGGAAAACTATGGGGTCAGTGTTTTTCCCTATAGTTCTCCTAAGGGTCACGGGAGGACACAAACTAGCGTCCTCCCATCACCCAAAGCTCAGTATACCGCGAGGAGACCACCAGGACGGATCCCGACATTACTGTTGAGATCCACCCAGCTGCGTGATTGACAGCTGGCTCTGCCTACCTAGAGGCAGTGCCAGCTGTACCCTCCCCCGTCCGTTCCACCAGTCAGCGCTGGAGGATCGGACAGGGGAGGGGGGAATCCCTGCAGGGAGCCGTGAGTCAGTCACGGCTCTCTGCAGGGAGATGATCGAGAAGTGAGCAAGCGACGGTATGTGTTCGCTCACTTCCCGATCTATTGAGCCGACGTGTGACAGTTTAATTGTCGCACGTCGGCTCGAACTATGAGGCTGAGTGATTTCACTCACCTCATAGTTCTCCTTTAAGCTTTTTCAGGGGTGTGGAAATTGGAAACAAAAAAACTACTTGTCCAAGGACTAAAGCAGGGCCCAATACAAAAAATAGTTTTAATAAAAACCGTATTTAAATGTGCTAAGAATCGCATCTCATTGGTCAGTGCAGTCTCCTAAGTGCTTGCAAAAAATTCAAAATCCATATAGGGTACAGATCATACACCGTTCCTGGCAGAGGGGAAGGTCCATTGGACAAAAGGTAAGTATAGCAGGGGGAAGAGGAGGCCAGATTGGAGCGGCTAATTCCATTTTCCCTAGTCTCTTGGGAAAGTGAACTTACCCTTTAATGCACATTGTGCATGTTAGAGAGCGCTGCTACCTGTCTACCACAATAGGGGCAGTACACACAAAATGCCCCATGTGTGCGTTTATTCGCATGCAGATAGCGTGGCTGGTTTTATTTTTATTATACATTTCTCTCCCGTTCATTGAAGGACACAGGGCAACAGATCGTAGATCCTGAATGGTAGGGTATATCGCCACCTGCAGGAGTAGGACGCTAGGCACATAACTAAAAAGACAAGACAGCCAACACAGGGGATAAAAATCCCCTATGGTGGCTTACAGCCACCTGCGGTGGTGGCTTACAGTATTACACAGGGGATAAAAATCCCCTATGTGATAGCATTTGGAGGGGACAGGCTCTCTTTATGGAGCCTGCCCTCCAATACAGAAGATCGAGCACAGCATTGTGACAGCTGACCGCTCCTGTTCACTGGTCACACAGAGCAGATTGGGGAACGGACATA